CCTGAGGTCCCAGTTCCTGTCCTTAGACTACCAAGATCAAACAACAGCCAAGAATGAAGGAGGAGCATATTGAGCGCATTGCTACACCCCTCATAGAATGTGAAAAAGGCAAAACGGGGTGTATCTTTCTTTGTTTTTGCCGAAAATGCATGGCCCATTTTGCGCATTCTGGTAGTGAGGTGTGGCGAGGCCTTAAGTGGGCCCCACCACACAATACTCTAGATGCATTTGGACGCTCTCTGTACCACGTGCATTTAATTTAAGAGAAGGTTACATTCTCTGTCATGGGCTGTACCTTTGTCATTGTGTCTTTCATTGTGTCTTCGGTCTAATCTTTTGTATTCTGATGACTACCGTTTATTTGTTCCTTTGTTGCTGGAGTCCGCGCCTTGTTCATGATCTCTCCCTTCTCCCCCTCCCCCTCCCCCTCCCCCTCCCCCCCCCCCCCCGGGCCCTCCCCCTCCGCCTCTGTATCTGGACTCTCCTTCCGCTTTCTCCCACCTTTTGGCGCCATCTTCGCCACCCTCTCCTCGGTCTCCCACCCTTGCCTCCCGCTCTCCCCCCCCCCAACCGCCCCCCGATCCCGCGCTTCTCCCTCGTCCCCCCGCGCCCCCCCCAATCCGTGGAGCAGGTGACAGCGGCGGACCAGTGGTGGCAAGGTCTGCTTCAGGCGGTTGCCCGATTCTTGTCGGGATCGTGAGTTGGGGCTACTTCTGTGGAATGGCTCCTTATCCTTCCATCTTCACACGTGTCAGTTCCGTCGTTGATTGGGTGGAGGGTGTTGTGCGCAAGCCCGTCCGCAGCGCTGCGCAGTTGAGCCCAAGCACCGCATGCCGCGTGTGCGGCACCCCCGCCACCTCCCGCTGCGCTCCCGGCTTCGACGAACGGCGTTGCGCGTCCGAGGCCTCCCTCTCCCCCGGATTCTCCCTCTCTGTGGCCAAATGCCGCGGCGGATATCGAGTCGCTACAGCTTCTTTGGTCTCGCCCCCATCGAGCTTCAAGGCTGGCAAAGTCTTCTTCTTGAGATCGACCGAAGGCGCTGGAAATGCCGTGGTCAAAGTCAACGGCGTCAAAGTCAACGTTCCATTGAAGGCTCCAGTTCAGGTCTCCGCACCCGTTTCCTCCAAGAACAACAAATGGCAGTTCGCGTTCCGAACCTGTTCCCCTTCCGGCGCAAGATACGCTGCAGTCTACTTCGCTAATGGTGTGAAACCAGTGTACAAGGTGTCCCTTTCTGCCAGCGGAACGACATGAAGATGAAGAAGGGACACTCATTCGGGTCGGGTGGAGGTGCCACATGCTGGCCACGTGGTGGTCCCACGTGTCCCCACGTGGTCCCAGCAGGTGCTGCTCCCCTTCAATATGACTGAAAGGTTTTTTTTTTATTTAATTTAGGACAACGCTCAGCAATTTCCTTATGAAGTCAACAGGAGGCGGACGGGGACTTCCCGCCGGGGACTTCACAATTCTACCCGGAGCTAGGCTATCAGAGTGGCCCGGGGTCACTTGCCCGGCCGGGCCAAAAAAAAAAAACAAACAAACAATATTTTTACAATTTCATTTTTATTTTAAATTTGGTGAAGAATTTCGATGTGACCCTGAGGCAAACCGGTTTTCAGTTTATTTTTCTGCATAACATAGATTTGTTTTGGATTTTTTGGATTGTTTTGTTTTTTGTTGGGACCTTCCCTGAGTCCCTGCTCCTTGCACGGGCTGGCCACCCGGGACACGGGCGGCCCTGCTGGTAGCCTAGACCCGGAGTTATTTATCGCTGGGGTCATTACCCAGTTTGGGTATCAAAACTGAGCAGGATTCGTGATTCATTGTCATAATTACACAAATTATAAATCAGAATGGATCCAATCTGATTTTCAATTTATGTAATTATGATCAGCTGGTTGCAGGTTGGATTGCCTGCAGTTGCAATTAGCGCTTGAGGGGCGACGAATGCATAAGGGGCTCCTGGAGCAGGCACAGAATGCGTTTAGCATACAGGAGATCACACCCGTGTTGGTCACCAGCATGCGAAATGGCTTGAGCTTGAGCTTGAGCTTGAGCTTGAGCTTGAGCTTGAGCTTGAGCTTGAGCTTGAGCTTACTATGGGCACAAGGGGACCATTTGGTTGATGGGACTGGGTACACGGGGGCCACCATGGTTGTTGTTTGTGATGTACTAAGTCTACTGACCAATGCATGCAGAGGTGGGCTGAAATTTGCATCTGCCAGCGTCAGTTTCATAGGCACAAGGGGCCCAAGGGGGCCATTTGCTTGTCAATGATCATTGAATGATGGGACTGGGTATACCAGGTCATGGCTGTACGTGATGTACTGAGTCTGCTGACCATGCTGGGGTCAGGCTGAAATCTGCATCTGCCAGCGTCAGTTTCATCCCAGCTCACTTTCAAAGTGCCGTTTGCATGGCATTCTGCCTTACGATCAGCAGATTGCACTGGCAGGTTCTATTCCCCAGTGTTGGATTTAGCTCTTGTCAATGAGGCGTT